AGCACCAAGGCAGGCTGAGAAGCTGGGTGGGGGGAGGCAACTAGCTCTTTTGCCATCCACAGGGCTCCTGGAGCACAGCCAGTCTGGTCCTGGGGTGGAGCTCAGAACAAAGTGGAAAGTTCTCTCACTATTTTTTTTTTAATTAAATTTTTTTAGTGTATTTATTTTGAGAGACAGAGAGAGTGGAAGAAGGGCAGCGCGGAGCCTGGTGTAGGTAGGGCTCAAACTCACGACCCATGAGATCACGACCTCAGCCAAAAATCAAGAGTCAGACGCTCGCCGGACTGAGCCACCCAGGCGTCCGGGAAGTTCTCCCTCTTTAATCTCACAATTCGTCACTTACTTTCTTCTCCCTGCTCAGCCTACTGGCCCCTCAGCCTTGATTCCAAAAAGAAAAATATTTCTAGATCAGCAAGTTCCCTTCTGTCAAAAAGCTTTCCGTAACAGCTTTCTCCTTTGGGTGGAGAATTCTCTTCTGGGTCAAGAGGAGGCTTTCTAAAGTGTTTTGAGAAACAGAACAATAGATGCACATGCGCAAAGTGTGGTAGCTGAGCTCCATCGGGTTCTTTGACCGAGTGGCCAAGCCAACGTTCTTCAGACCCGACCTCAGAGCAGTTTTTCATTCCTTGCTCCCAAACTTTAACATGTGATCAGTACCAAAAATGCCCCCCCCCCATTAGAATCTATGGAAAAGATACAGCATTTCTTTGAAAATCTAGGGGAGAGTAGGGCACCTGACTCCTATCGCCTTCACCTCTTAATCATATATAACCATCTTCCTAAATAGCAGCTTCCTTCCTTATAAAACCATTGCCTCCTCAGCATAGCTAGTACTTTCTCTCCTTGCCTTCAATTTTTATCCCTTACTCTTTTTTCCTCTGGAGCCCTGAACCAAATTCTCAGAATGAAATCATGATCTCACAAATGTCATGACAACTTAAAAGGAGAATTTGGGGGCTGTGCTGAAAATACATGATACAACTGAAGCAGAGAGTTAATGTTACAACTGAACGCAGTTGCAAAGTGGCAGTTTGGAGGTATCAGCAATGAATTCCACATTTTCCTATAGGCTTCTATTTATTTGACTTTCAGGATCCACCAATCCTAATAGATACAAGTTAAAACAGAAGTAAATTAGAGAACTGTTAAAGAAGGGGCAGATTAAGCCCTTTCCAGACCGGCAGCCATGGTATTTTTCTAGCCTATGATTGTTTGGACAGACTCTTTCATACCGCCAGAAACCTAGATGGGCTAACACCCAATGCCCCGCCTGCTGGTATTGATTAATGACAGACCCGGCAGAGTGGAGCTCTGTACCAATTCAAAGAAAATCAATCAGTGCTTATTAGCCATAACAAATCAATAAAAACGATTAGCTGGAGAAACAATATTAACAACATGTCCCTGTTACCATCAGACATAAGTTCCTAAGAACTCTGAAGCTTCCTACAGCACATATTATTTTATTGTTTTACTCCTGATTTTGTAGAATTTATGACCACGTGGTCCCTAAAGGTGTTCCCTGAAAGTGCAACATCGGTGAGATTTCCAATCATTTTATACCCTGGCCTCAGAGTAACTATGTCTCCAAGCCTTTGAATATGTCTCCTGGTGGGGACTTGTAAGGTGCCTTTCCCCTATGAAGAGGCCATGTACTGTAGTAGAGACCACACTAGGCTCCAAATGCCAAACAGGATCTAGGTTCCAGTCTAGGCACATAACTAAGTCTGTATGGAAGGCAGTTCATGTTTCTGTGCTTTGGATTTCACACATATAAAGCAAAAAGCTGGGACTAGGTTGTCTCTTAGAACCCTCACAGCCCTTAAACTCTATAGTTCTCTAACATATTTGTGACTTTTCAACCTAAGAAAAGATCCAGGTCTATGAGTTACTGAATAAAATACCCATTTCATAGTGCTTTTAGTAAACGTTTATGCGGAAGATTGACAAATGATTTTTTCCCCTAAAAGATCCTAAATTTGACTTAGAGGAAATCAAGCTGAGATTTGGCATTGTGTTCTTGCATACAAACGCACCATTGTCTCACACTTAAACTTCGTTTCCTTTTCAGATCCAATTTAGAAATAACGTTTCACTCAAGATAAGGCTTGTGGTTTAGGAGATTCTGGCCTGGCTTGCCTCATTTTAAGAACTTCTATCATCTCTTTTCAAAACCTGAGGAGGACCTCATTTCCTGTTTGATAGTTCCTCATGCTTTGCCAGCCTCCGGGTCTTTAGGGAAGCTTGCCAAGAGTTCCCAACTGGGAAGGACAAGCTGAGTTCATCACAGAGAATGAGCTGGCACCACAGTTGCAGTGACTCACCAACCTGGTTGCCCACTTTGCGATGGCAAGAACCACACCATGTAGTTGAAAGACCTGTGCTTTTAGTGTAGTGCATTTGGATCGCATGGCAAAATCATCTCTGATCTTCCCTTTCACTGGCTGTTTTGAGAACAAGACAAAAAAGGAAATTACACCCTGAATTATATTTTGTTTCTTAAAAATTAAGATAAATTAACAGAGACTTGGCTTTTATGTTCATTCTGTTCTAAGAATTTTGTGGTGATTACAAAACGGTGAAAATAGGTCACAGCAAAATGAACATTCAAGATTAGGTTAAAACATACCTCTGAAATTTGAAATGAATCACTATTCATTTTTCGAGTGTCAGTTACTACATTTCTGTAATTCATTATTTTTTTTTCTTGGCTTAGAGTCAAGATGAGAAATAATATTTAGACTAAAGACATTATTTTGTTATATAGCCACTGCTTTTTAAGATGCGAATCCACTCTCCCCTCACCCATGCTTGATCACTTATGCGTTCTAATACTCTGTCTCTCCCTCTTTGTCTCTCTCTCTCTCACACACACACACACACACAACACACACACACACACACACACACCACCCAGATGCTGGAGAAAGCCCTTTCAAGACTTCTAGAACCTGGGTCGTGTAAGAGGTAGATAGGAAAATTAAATGAGTTCCAGAGCTGTAGCAACACTGAGTCATTGATTTCTCTTTACATAGAGTCACTATATACTACACAGGTATTTTTCAAAACAAATATTGTTATGCTTAAGGAACATTACACTTCTAAATGATTACAATTGTCATCTGATTTCAAGTCACATATAGGAGCCATCTAAAGTATTTTGCATTACAGTCTGTCACCAAAAAGCAACTAGTAAAGTTTTAAAATGTGCCTAGGTTTGCCCCGTGGGGAATTAAATTTTAATTTATAAGTCTTTCTACCATGGAACTTTAGCACAAGATAACATTTGATATTAACATGGAAGAATATTCTATGGCTTTTTTTTTTTCTTAGCTTAAGTGGCATTGCTCTAAAATTAAGTACACATTGCATTTTTTCATCCCCGTGTTCTTTTGTTACACATAGAGTATTTTTACAATGTTGTTTTTAATGTACACATTATTTTTATTAAGTCACTAGGTAAAAGATAAAATATACAATAATGATAATAGTCCTTTGCTTTTCTCCTAATTTTATTATTTCAAGTTAAGCAAAAATGGACACTTTTCTTTCAGGAAAAAAAAATACTGAGTTTATTTTTGATGCAAAGATGAGTATTTAGTTACAGTATTTTTCCCCTAGTAGATTAGCATTTATGATGGATCTTATTTCAAAGCTGATTATTCTCAAAGAAAAGCAGAGAGATATTAGATATTCCAAGGAAATTACGTTGTTTTAAAAGTATTTTAATACATTATTCAAATTGTTGTCAGCTATTGGAAAGAAAAAAAAAAGCAGTATCTGTTCCAAATGTGAAATTTTGGTGTTCGGAAGACTTTATAAATTCCAGTTTCTTTAGGAGAGAGGTAGAAATCAATATCAAAGGAGTACACAATTTAGAACACCCTCAATTTTTTTTTAACCTTAACTGTGATAAGCATCTCCGCAAGGTAGGTTTTAACATATTTTTTCCTAATTTTTCCCCTCCTTTCAGTAAGAAGGATAAGCTTTTAGAGTACCCAGTCACCGTGGTAACTGCCAAAAAAATTCTCCTGAAGTTTGAAGAGGTCAGCTAGCAGGGTCAACAGCTCTGGCCTCTCTCTGAGCTCGGTCTAGCATGCCCCGGCCTGTGGTTGGAGTGTCAGACCAGATCTGACCCTGGGAGGTGGACTATTCTGGCTCTGATATAAATTTTTTGAGTCAGTTCATGGCCTGGACTCTCCAGGTGGCCTCCAAAATCTATTTTGACCCCCTGACCCTGTCTCGCGGAGGCATAGCATCCACCCTAAGTAAGGATTTAGCCAGGAATGACAGCTTTCCACTGAGTGTTATTGGGGACAGTATAAACAGTTTGGAAAGCAAGTAAGGAGGTGTGAGTGCTAGAAATCATTCAAAGCACATTTAAAACCAACTTCAAAAATCTTTCTTTGTAAAACAAAATTTAAGACATGTATTTGTTACATAATTTCTATGTGATTTGTAGAGTTTTTTCATCAAGGAAAATTTTTGAATATAAATACTCAATAAACCACACCTCTTTATCCTCTTATATACTTTGTTACAGATATGCAAATAAGATGGCCTGACTTGCAACAAAATAGGCACAGCAGAGGTGTAACATATACAGAAAGGGAAGCCAGTTATTAAAATACGTTGGTAGATAGAGAGTTTCTAGGATTGTAAATAGGAAATTATGTGCGTGTGCCTTTATATGTCTAAAATGAGAAAATTAGGAATCTTACAAAACAACGATCTGGAATGAAGACACACCTGCACTAGGGGCCAAGTGCCTTGCAACTTTGTGAAGCAAATAGCCAGTATAACCATTTGGATACAAATGAGATTAAAAATTCTAAATGTGGAAAGTTAGATGTGAAAGCACAAAAGAAGAGAAAGCAAGAAATTAATAGTGTCTCTGAATTAACTATGTATGCTTAAGTTATCAAAAGCTTGGGAAATAAAAATAATGTATAGAGATCATCAGTGATTCTTTCTTTCTCCCCCCCCCCTTTTTTTTTCAGGATGCCACCCTGAAAGCTTTATTTTCTCCAGGAAAGTAGATTTCTCTTTGAGAGTTCTAGCCTCTGAACTCAGTATGTAAATGTGGTCATCAAGCAAGACGGAGCTGCCAAACAGGAAGATTTTGAATGTTTCTCTCTCCTAAAACCTTTCCCCATGTTCCTTCTTCCAGGGGCGCTTCACTCAAAGTTTCCCCATTTCCCCAACGCTGTTGAAAAAGGCCCCAAAGCAACATTGCAGGAGCTAAACCAATTGTACTGTGAAGTTGTCGAGCTGGCATTTCGTCTGAATCCTTTGTAAAAATTAGATTTTAAGTAGGGGTGAGTGTCCTTTTGGGAGAAGGGACAAGGGAGAGTCGAAGAAGAGGGGGAGGGCATGAGCAGTTTATATACATACATACTCTTTGTGTTTGAAGGCCTCTGTGTCTTGGCTTCTCACTATGTTAAATCCCTATTATAAAACTTATCTTCACAAAGCCTATTATAGTATTCTGAGAACAAATTGGACCATGAATAACTTAGTTGGAAGTGTAGATTATTTTCTACTCGGGGAAAGTTAGAGATGACAACAGCTTAACTAAAAGAATAGTGATTACTCTTAAATAGATGGATTTCAAAGTTTCACTCTTGATAAAGAGTGCCTTTGATATTTCCCCTCTTCAGACTCATGTTTCCACTTTCTTTGTATTAAGAATTGTCCTGGCGATTACACTGTCCACCTAATACAGCCTGACTCTAACTGTAGATCTTTTTCTTACAGGTTGCTAATCTGTCAGAGAGGTGAGCAGAAAGACACTCTACTTCTCACTGATTAAATATATGGTTCCAAAGTAGCACCCGTGCTTAGATGGCGAACTCTGTTAGAAATAACATCTTGCAGACATCAACATCTCTCAATTGGATAAAATTATTATTCAAATCGTAAATTTGTTTAATGCCCTGCAGCTGACAGAACACTTCTCGATTCGTAATTTTGTTTGATCCTTAGAGCGATGTTATGAAATAAACAAATAACGCTAATCTCACTGTACCAAGGAGGAAGCCGAGTCCCTCATACACTCACACTCACACTGAACCAGCTGATTAGTGACAGAATTGGGGTACCACCTCCGATTTTATAGCATCAAAGTGTTTTAACCGACCAGCCCATAGCAATAGGTGTTTAAATAGTTTTTGTGTTCTGTATCCCTAAAAATCAAGATTTTTGTATTAAAGAGCAAAGTTTTTTATATTTCACAGATACGGGAAGTTAAAAAACCTGATGGAAGAAAAATCTATTCACTTAAAAGTAAATTTCATGAATTATTGTGTGTGTGTTTCAATCGTCTTTTGGAGTTGCAAGTCTTATTTTCTAAAAGCCAAAGCCCTATGTGAATTAAATAACTGCCTGCAATTTTCAAAATGTACTTGAAAACCATACATTGTTTCAAAATAGAAGATAACAAAAAATGAACCTTTAGAAACAGGTTCTGCCTATAAAGTATTTGAGAACATGGAACTGATTAAATTCTAGAGTGCTGAGTGAGGTTTCTACAAGTGTTTTACTTTTTTTCACCTTCATTGAGATAAATTGACAAAATTGTAAGATATTTAAAGTATATATTATTGATGATTTGATAAACATAAACGTTGTGAAATTTATTCCTTCTATCTATTTAATTAACACATCTATCACATAACATCTCTCTCGCTCTCTCTGTCTTTGGTGATAACATTTAAGTTCTACTCTCTTAACAAATTTTAATTATTCATTATAATGTCATCAATTACAGTCACTGTGTTAACCATTAGATCCTCAGACCTTATTCATCTTAGAGCTGAAAGTTTCTACCCTTTTACCAACCTCTTCCTAATTCTCTGACTCCCCAGTCCCTGGCCTCTAGTTTTTATAGACTGGTATCTGTCTTGTAACATCTTAGCAACTTGGATAAACAAAGTTGTATAGGGTTACTTTTGTTTTTCTTTGGTTTTTGCTCTTCATTTAAAAAATTTGCAAAATACTCTAGAAATAATAAATGAAAAGTTTAGTTAACTTGCTACTGATGTAATCTGTCTAAACAAACAGAAATCAAGAAATATAAAAGGATTATGCCCTGTGATTCTGCCTAGGTTTTTAATTACATTGTTTTTAATTATGTAATGAAGTCAGTGTGGATGTTAGTGTGGAAATTATTTGTTTATTTCTTAAATTGTATACACTTAAATTAGTCACTTTATATATAAATAAATTAAGGTTTTTGTCTTTAAATTATGCTGGCAGCTAGGCAAATCCAGTCAAGCTTTTTGGGATTAGATCAAATGAAAAAGTGTCCAGAAGAGGAAAGGCAACAGTTCTGGCTGGATGTTGCACTTGTGAGCTTGTACCAGTAGTGACATATGCTATCACCTCTCTCTTTTGCTAAGGTTCCTCAGTTAAAACATGACAGTAGACTGAGGATTGTTCATTTTGATTTGGAGATAGATGTTCAAGCCCCCAATTCAAACTTCTCTACTAATTTGCCAATTAGGAAATGAAACAACAAGGACTCTCATATTAACACTAATATGTTTGTGTAGATGCCTTTTGCAATTTTTAGATTTGTTATTATATCCCCAATTTCATTTGTTTTGGCAATGTGTGTCTTTCACATCTACCACTGTCCAAAACATCTTTCCTTCCTTCCTTCTTCCCTCCTTCCTCCCCTCCCCTCCCTGCCTTCCTTCTTGTCTTCTCTCTTCTCCCTTCTTCCCTCTTTTCCTTCCTCCTCTTGTGTTACTCATCAGTTTTCAGGTAATTTTGTTTTGAAATGTAGAGCAGCTTGGGCCTTAAGGGGCTTATCTAATGCAATCTCATACCAAACCAATGTGCTTGCACAAGACAACATTTACTTCAGTTAAACATATAACAAGTCAGAGAACCCTAAAGTATAGTATCAACACTTCTCTTACAACCAAAATTCAACCCTGAGGGATCAACTTTTAATGTTATAGATTCTGGTAATTTTCCTCTTGTGCTGTCTTCCTATTTTTTCTAAGTCATTTAAGCTATCAGTTTTCATGTAAGCTTCTCATGTTGCAAAAGAGGAAGATGAAAAAGGAGGAGAATTATTTGAGGAATCTGAAAAGAAATGTTGTCATATTTATATGTGAGTACATAGAAGCACCATGGAAAACATTGGAAAGCATAAATAAAGATCAGAGATTCCTCATTTTTCTTTTAAGTCATCCTTGCCCAATATACTGCGGTGGCAAATATGTGTTTTCTTCCTTCCTTCCTTCCTTCCTTCCTCCCTCCCTCCCTCCCTCCCTTCTTTCTTTCTTTCCTTCTTTCTTCCTTTCTTTCTTCTCTCCCCTGCTCCCCTGGACAGATTAATATAATTTTGACAAAATGAAACTCTACTTAAAAAGGGACAAGATTTTTTTCTAGTGACATTTTTTAAGTAAGTCAACCAGGCATACATACACACATTCTATATTCTTATGGATGAAATAGTATATATCCATTAGTAGAAAATCACAATGTATAGTGAAAATTTTAGTCAACTGTTTGAGTATTAGTTTCTATAATATCAGATTTCTGTCTCTTTCTCAGTATTGTGACTATATCTCATTTATTTGAGTGTTGATAGATACAGTTCATAATTAGGAGCCTAATTTACTAGAGAAACCAAGCGTTTTCCCGTTTGTGTTGAATATTGTTAGGCACCTACTATCCATTGAATAATCATAACTGACTACCTCTATGACAAGTATAAGGCATTCTTCCATAGGGATGAAAAGACTAAATCCCTATCATCATGGAATTTTGTGCTAGGGCTTGGGAAAAAGTAGGGATTGGTGGGGCACCCGGCTGGCTCAGTCGGTGGAGCATGCCACTGTTGATCTTGGGACAGCCCCACATTGGGAGTAGGGAGTACTTAAAAATAAAATCTTAAAAAAAAAAAAAGGAAGTGGGGATTAGAACCAGAAAGTACTAAAAAGCTCAAGATTTGGGCCCAACTATCCAGGAAAGAGGAATTGCCATGTACACAAATGTCTCTTCACAATAAGCCATGGTAAAGGTATGAACAAATGACTATGAAAATATGGAATAGTCTGGAAAAGCTTGTTGGAGAAAATAGAGATTGAAGAATGGGTAGGATTGTGGTAGACAGATATGGGACTATATTCCAGATGGAAGGAAAAGGTAGATATGTGAGGTTGTACAGGGTACCATAGAAAATTATTCAATGGGTTTAAAATAAAGTTTCAAGAATAACACAAAATGAGGCTGAATATTATCTATTTTAATAAACTGATTTATAGCCTTACTCATCCAGGAAATAATGCTCTTGCAAGTGCCATGAAAACATTTACCAGTTATAAAACCATTTCTTTTAAAGGGAGTTAAGGGACACCTAGGGGACTCAGTCGGTTAAGCGTCTAGCTTCAGCTCAGGTCATGATTTCATAGTTGCGGGCTCAAGCCTCACATTGGGCTCTGTGCTGACATCTCAGACCCTGGACCCTGATTCAGATTCTGTCTCTCCCTCTCTCTGCCCCTTCCCCACTCATGCTCTGTCTCTCTCTCAAAAATAAAAACATTAAAAAAAGTAAATAAAGTGAAATAAAATTCAGTGAAAAGGAATAAGTATGAAAAATTAGTGCTTCTCACACTAGATTATCCCTGGATCTGGGAACCTCTGTGTTCCTCAGTATCCTCATCTGGGTATCTATTTCTCATATTTGCAAAATGACATCAAATATTAAAATGAAAACTCTTATGAAAATCAATTATCATTTTTCAAAGATATTTCATGGGTCCCTTATATGCCACTTCTTCCCAGAGTTCTAATATAAAGTTACAAATAAACACTGCATCTTAAAATGTATTTTTTTAAAAATGTTTTTATTTATTTCTAGGAGAGAGAGAGACAGTGTGAGCAGGGGAGGGTCAGAGAGAGAGGGAGTCACAGACTGAAACAGGCTCCAGGCTCTGAGCTGGCAGTCAGCACAGAGCCCGACGCGGGGCTCGAACCCACGAACTGTGAGATCATGACCTAAGCGAAAGTCGGACGCTTAACCGACTAAGCCACCCAGGCGCCCCTTAAAATGTATTTTTAAGTGAATGACTCTTCAGCCTAAGAGAAGAAAAAAATCATTTTTAAATTCTGCATTCAGAAGCTGTACATTCATGCTTATGCAAGTGAATGAAAGCTTAGAAATATATTTAAATATGTTTAAAAGCCCACAGAGATATTTTGCAATCAGGAAGTATCAGCAATTGTATGAACAACCTCAGAATCTTCAATAAAAAATGCTAAAAGTCAAAGAAGCAAGGAATAAAGGCACACTACATATACTCTAGACACATTAGAATCATTCAGTAATGATCAAAATAGTAAACTAATACAAATGTTTTCAGTGATGTAACGCGCAAGCCTCTAGGAATAGAATGTTGTAAGTGTCAATCTTCCTGATATGAATCCTCAAGCCAAGTGGAGACTAAATCCTAGAACTAAAGCTCTGAAATCAAGCTCAAGGAATATTTTACAGGGGGAAATGAGTTGAAATGTATACAACATCACATTAAAATGAAATATGAGACAAATAATATAGACAGATGCAAGGGTTTTCAAGGGTAAAAGAAACACACATTCTTATCTGTAGCTGGTTAATCAGGTTGGATAAAGCACTGGTTAGTTGTCCAGACCATATATTTAATTTCCACTTAACTTTTATCTACTACATAGCCTCAACTGTAGCCATGTCTTAACAGAAGTCTTTCACTGACAGTCTCCTTTCAGTCAGTAAACAATGCTTTTGAGTGATCAAAAGGGACAGGGCATTTTATAGGTGCTATGGAAAGAAAAAAAAGGTATTAAAATGAAAAGGAAAAGATGTTCTATCTCCTGCCCTTAAAGATACAAATATTCATATTTAAGGCTCTGCCTAAAGTAAATTATTGACATTTCAAGACCCACTTAAGGACCACTTGTTTGTAAAGCTTTTCCTTCATATTTACTATCACTGTATATCAGATACCCCCAGTACCATAATTCTAAACTTGATTATAGCACTGCAAACAATACAAAAGTTTATAGAAGCAGAGGTAAAAGAGGTGTGTAGAATAAGTAGAAGTGCCCATTGTCACTTCTCTGGAAGCATGTGTCCTTCCAGTTCTCAGAAAGATGTATGTGTCAATGTATGTGTGGAAAAAGATAGTTGGTAGCTAGATGATATGTAGATAGATGATGATAGATAATAGATAGATAGATAGATAGATAGATAGATAGATAGATAGATAGATAGACAGATAGATGGTAAGAGTTAAGAACACAGACTCTGG